GATTTAATAGCTTCTGCAGCAGGGTGACGGGAACCAAAAATTCAGTCTGGGTAACTGAGAGTGGTTTTTACACCCAAAGACGCTGAGCAAACTGGGAACCCTGGCTTTTCAAAATTCCAGGGCCATGAAGTCATCCCAAGCCACAAAGTTTACTTAACCCTTGCAGCCCGCTCGGGTGTACAAGCCACTGCTCGAAAATTAGAACCCGCCAGGCCAGAGTCACAATGGCCCGTGTGTATCTGTGGTTTTCCTCTCTCCCAGTGAAGTATTTAAGGTTTCAGAGTCACCCCACCAACTTCAAGTAAAACAGTCAGCACTTTAGAAGGAAATGGGCACAAGGAGTGCATTTTTCGGGAGGATTTTTCTGGGTTCATCCCAGGAAGCATATCGGACAGTCTCAGAGCTCACACTTTGAGGAAAACACCGGAGCCAGATAAACAGGGAGTGGGCGCTGACGGCGATGACCGTCGAAGAGGGTCATGGAGAAGCCAGTCGTGGGGGGCTCTCTCTTTGTGGCGGCTTCATGGGAAAGAGCCCCATCTGAAAATGCTTCTTGAAGGCTTTGTTTGAAAATGCAGCATCATGTAAGAACCCTTCCAGCAGATGATTCCTGTCTTTTGCTTCACAGTATTATGCTAACACAACTTCAGGGATTCTGAACCTCATTGTTAGCACTTGGAAACCCCCTCCCCCAGAGCAGAGAAGACCTCGCTTTCCCTCTGGCACAGTGTCTAGTGGTCTGTATTCCCCCTTCCCGACCCTCTCCTGGAACAAAGTAATAAATAACAAGAACGACTTTCAGATGGCCCTGTCACTGGGGGTGGGGGGGAGGTAGAAGGAGCCACAACAGATACCGACTCTTAGGCTCCGGGACTTTCTTTGCAGTGAGGACAGACAGACCTTTCGTGGACTCTAGATAATGCAAAAAAATGAAAAGGTAGGTAGGCAGGAGGCCAGGGTGAGAGGGGAATTAGTGAGACTGCAGCAGAAGCCCTTGTTTCTAACAGCTCCATGCATCTGATCAGTATAATTGAATGACAAGCAACCTTGCCACCTGACCCTGACCTCCGACGTGTGAAGCTAAGCCAGCAGCTTTCTCTTGAGTTTCTCTGCCATTGCCACCCTGTAGTAACACGATTATAAACAACATACTTAGCACGGAGTTATTTCAGTGAATCCTCATGAGGAAATGCTGAAATCGCACCTCCCTCCTCTATTAAATTTAAAAAGGAGGAAACCGAAAAACAGAAACTAACTGGAAACCCGAGGAAAGTAAATATTTATATTAGCAAATTTTCAAATCGCGTACTAAAGATTCAGGAAGAGGGAAAATGTTCAGACTACGGCCACCATGCGTTTGACATTTCCAGGCCCTATATGTGGTCGCAAGTGTGACTGGGGGAACTGGGTGGGGCTGAGATAAATGAGGGGGGGTTAAGAAGAAATTGCAACAGAGTGGGAGAAATTCAAAGACGCTGGGGCCATTAAAAACAACCTGATGAAGGCTGAACTCTTCAGAGCAGGAGCAATAATTTGGGGGAGTGGGCAGATGACTGGCTGCTGTGCAGGTTGATTCTTCAGGAAGTGAGCCTGTTCTGTGAGGCACTGCAATCTGGATACATTTGTCCACACACAGAAGCTACAACACAAAGGATGAACCCAAAGTAAACTGTGGACTTCGGTTAACCATAATGAGTCAGTGTCCGTTCCTTCCTTGTAACAAATGTACCACAGTAACAAAAGAGGTTAGTAAGTAGAGGAAACTGTATTGGGGGGAATGTTAAAATTCTGTACTTTTTGTTAACCTAATGGTGAGAACGTAGAATTGCTCTAAACCATAAAGCCTATTCATTTAAAAAAAAATCGTAACTGAAGACAAATCCAGGGGGAAAACATTTAATTAAGTACTTTGTTGTTTTGGTTTATACAAAAATAGTTTTAACCTTTTTTTTTTAATGCACAGATTAATAATCTAAAAGTTTATCAACTCTAACAAGAAATGACTTTTAATTAAAGCACAGAATCTTTGGATTCTTTTAGCTCTGTAATGCAGTCATAGGAGAGGTCATGACAAAAATGTCTGCAGTCAGCTAGTTGAGCACAGCCAAGCAAAAAGAGCAAGTTTCTTAACCTCTTTGAGCCTCACAGTCTCCTTCTTCTATAAAAAGGGAAGATAACAGCAACCGTGGGAGGACTGAATGAGATTATGGTTACCAAGTGCCTAGTACAGTGCCTGATACATAGTGTATGCTTGATAAAGGCTAGCTAATGTAATTTTTCATATGAGTGTTGTGCTCCTAACAGGGCTAACCTTATGCATTTAATCAAATTATGTGCCAGTTAGCTTACTGCTACTTTAAAGTTGCTGAACGCACCCCCTGGCCCCACTCATTTATGAAAAGTGTCCACTGCACCTCTAACAGGAACACTTAGCTCTTCCAATTAGGGGAATGGGGCAGGGCTGTAAGAAATGGTTAAGGATTTTGACTTCTCCTGTGGCTTGAGCGTTCAGTCTTTTGGAGAGGTGTGCAAGTGAGGAGACCTGAGCTGGGAGATGGACCCTTAACCCCCTGCAGCCAGGGGAGTCCTGTGACATGGACCCCAATAAACCTGGATTAAAGATCGACAAGGGGGGGGGTGCTCTGGACAGCAGTTTGGCTTGAAGCCATGATTTAGCTGACACAGCCCAGTCCCACTCGTGCCAAACAGTTTCAGTCAGCACGAGGCCATGTGTGAGTAAGTCCTACAGCGATTACGCAGCAGTGTGCAGAGTCGAAAAGCATTCAAGAGCCGAAGGACGCTCATGATGCCAGGCATCAGCAACATAAGCCCCTAAACGGGGGCAGGAAACAAAACCAGGTCCCTCTGCAAATTCAATCTGTGGTCTGCCTGTGCCCTCTGGCAGTCTTGAAGGCAGGTTTAGAATTCGCTTGGCAACTGTGCTATGTAGACTGAATGAAGGTCTAATCTAGCTTGGAACTGAGAGGCCTTGGGGTATAAGACCTTACAGGGACATACGGAAAGTGTTAGAGGGACTTGATTCTGGGGATGGTCCTGAGAGCAGCGTGGGCCTTCTCTACACACCCAGGCCTTGGGACACCGATGATAATGAAGACAAAATATAAGCATTACAGCAGCCAGGGCAGAATAAAAAAAGGTCTGGTGCTCCCACCTTAGAGCTAAAAGGATTTTCTTTTCACTCTTTAAGGCTATGTTTAGTAAAGGCTCAATGAGCGTATTTCCCTGTAATGCCATTATGACAAACGTATATATAAAATCTATATCATATTACTATGATTAAAATGACAAGAAAAATGTGGGACAGCAATCCTTTATAAAAGTCTTACAAAGTGAAAAAAAATTTTTAAATCTATAAATGATTTGTCCCTGCGTGGCAAATGACTGGCTAGCTAGCTGTGCAGTGGCAGGCGGCATATATCCTCCAAGGGAACAAGGTCATTCATCTCTACTTCACTGGTTGGAACTTTAAGCCCACTTGATAACATGCCAGCGACTTCTCCATTCCAACTCACACCCTCCAGCTCCTAATGCCTCAACCCTTATGGTTCCGCCTCCCTAACACCGGAACACCCTGGCATCAACCAAGGATCCCTGATCCCGGAATTCCCGCACTCATAGTTACTTTCCCCTAGTTTCCTTGCCTCATCCCACACTGTACATTTTGTCGAGTCCCCTGGAGCCCGTGTAAGAGTACACTTGCTAGCACTACACAGGCTTAGCTTTACTATCTACCCACTGTTTGACTTTGGGTAGATGACTTAAATAGATCCACAGTTTAACTCACTGGTTAAAAAATGAGACTAATTACTTATCTGACAAGTTTATTGCAAAGACTAATTTACACAACATACATGAAAACATAGCACAGCGTCTGGCAGATAGTAAATGCTCAACAGGCATTAGATTTTTTGTCTATCCCTCAGACTCCAGATCCTTGGCCCCTACCTTATATCCCACGTTCTGGATTCTTAGTAGTCTTCCGGCTTTAAGAAATAAGAACAACCAGAATCTGAGCTTGTGAGATTGGGATGGCTTGGCTTGCTTGACCTGACACCTTGTCAGAGATGGACTGATATACTCAGTCCATCTTGCAAGACTGTAATGCAGTGAATGGGGGGTATGAACTTGAAATGAAAATATTTATTTTTACTCCACCTCATTCCATAAAGGATTTGATGCAGCTTGAAACCAATGTTAACCATATTAAGTTTATCTACAAGTAGTCTTTTGAAGTAGGAGGAGAGTAAGAAGTAGAATTTAATATCTGCTATTTATATATCCTTCTTGTTATTGGCGCCCATAACACCATAGTCATTGTAGGTATGCATTTAAATTTAAAAAAAGAGAGAGAGATGTTTTTGAGGGAAGGCAAGTGTGTGTGTGTGCATGTGTGTGTGTGTGTGTGTGTGTGTATGTGTGTTTGTCAGAAAGAGAGAGAGAGAGACTGAGGGAGAGAGGAGGGGAGAATCCTATACCTTCTCCTTGGACTGTCTGGACTATGTCATAGCAAAAATACAATCAATGACTCCTTTGATCAATGCAACAGGGTGGTGACAGGTACTTTTAATTCATTGTTGCTGGTGATTATTGACAAGCTGGTAATGATCATGCTGTACTATGTCACTCAGGCTGAGGGCATTAGCATTCTTTAAAGGTCAAAAACAAATTCTTTTAAAATGCATAATTTCTCAGGAACCAGGGAAGCTTCAGAAATGTTTTCAACCAGGTTCACACTACAAAGTAGGGAATATGTGAGACAGTCAGGATTTCAGTTCTTTCCCTGTGTCTCACATTAAAATGATATTTAATTTTTCCTGATTTAAATTCTTGGCTGTCAAACAAACTGCGTGGCGAAATTCTTCCAATGGGTGAATGGAGAAGGGATTCTGAAAGCTATTTATGTCTCTCGGAGGCCTAGGCAGACAGTCAGCACAAACCTAAGGCAAATCTGTACCAAATCAAAGCAAAATTATACTTACTCTGTGACACTCTTACAAGCTCAGTCACACTAAAAACACCTGATGTGACAAAACTGTCTTGGAAGCCCAAATGTCCTGGGGAAACAAAAACAAAAGAAAACAGCGTCATAAACAGAAGACATCTGACAACAGAATTCTAAATATTAGTTTCATTGTGATTAAAAAGGGCAATGTCTAATTTCCTACTCTGCTCTATTAAGAGTTGACGTGGGCGGGGACAGTCATCTCATTACATAGCTGGTTTTCTGGTTTGAATCTGGGGACTACGGAAAGCTCTGACACAACGGGGTGATTTCTGATATGGCTTAAAAAAAAAAAAAAAGAAAAGAAAAAAAACCACCAAACAACTCAACAGGAAATCTGAAACAAAAGAAGATTTAAAATAAATGGTTACCTTGGCTGACCTCTGAGACCTTAACAGCTGAGCTGAAAACAGCCTACCTAGGAATCAGCCAGGATACCCAAATTCCCTAACAGTTTTTCACCATTATTCTCTAAAGAAACATCTGATCAGGATTAGCTCTCCATCCATTCAAATCAAACAAGATTTAAAGATGTTCTCTTCATTTTCAGAGGCACCACAGGATGAAATCTTGAAAAAGCCAAACCAGAAAAGTCAAGCCCCATGCCTTGAAACATGTAAACAAATTCTTTTGAGCACAGATAAAAATTTAGATTTGTTTTGAGAACGAGAGGGTTTTTTTGTGTGAGTGGGTAGACTGACTCTTTTCTTTTTTTTTTTTTCCTGAGAGAAGATAATAAACCAATGGTTCTACATGACTATCTCTGAATTTTGCATCTGCTTTATTTTTGCTGGATATAATTAATTCCTTTAATATACCTGCTACTATCTCTCTTATCATTTGCTTTTTTATTTTTATGGTACATTCAGGAACATAAAACTTATAAATAGCAAGGAATACATTGTTTATGATATGCTGTTTCCTTCTCAGCTTCTCAAGTTTTCTGATTCTGAATCTCAGACAGATAAAATCTAGTTGAGACGCATCTCTAGGGTTAGCATAATCACCTCCTTTAAAAGTAGGGCCAAAGGAGGGCACCTGGATGGCTTAGTGGGTTACGCCTTTGCCTTCGGCTCAGGTCATGATCTCGGGGTCCTGGGATGGAGCCCCGCATCGGGCTCTCTGCTCAGCAGGGAGCCTGTTACCCCCTCTCTCTCTGCCTGCCTCTCTGCCTACTTGTGATCTCTGTCAAATAAATAAAATCTTTAAAAAAAAAAAAAAAAGTAGGGCCAAAGGGTTTTTTTAAATATAAACTTCCCTTTGAAACAAGAAACATACTTTTAAGAAATGCAAAATCAGAAAACAGGTCTATCTGAATCTATAACAAACAGCCTACAAATAAGATTTATGTTATTGACAAAAAATAGATTTTTCCCAGTACTAAGGGGAGGCAAATTTACCTATGGTATAGTCTACCCACCAATAGATTCATTAAATGTCATGCACATAAACACATGCAACAAATCACTATGTTTGGGAGACTTAACAAAACTACCTACAAATTATTCTTTTTCTGGTAGCATTAGAATTAAGAAAGGTTTTTTTTTTCCAGTTAATTTTTATACCCAACACAATCTACGATATTTTAGATAAAACAGCTCTAATTTTTAGAACATGCAGTAACTATAAATTGCTTTTTTTTAAAAAGCATTTTATTTTTGTCAGAGAGAGAGAGAGAGAGCACGCGAGCGAGCACAAGCAGGGGAGCAACAGGCTCCCTGCTGAGCAGGGAGCTGGATATGGGACTCAATCCCAGGACTCTGGGATCATGACCTGAGCCAAAGGCAGATCCTTAACCAACAGAGACACCCAGGAATCCCTAAAAATTGCTTTTTAAAGTAAAATGGCAAACTTTCACTTGAAGACGTGCTTAAGAAATTTCACCTGTTGAAACAACCCCCACCCGGGTCTCTGGTTGACTCTGATTTGGTAAGTGCCTAAGATGTTGTCTCTTGGATAGAGAGACCTGAGAAATAAAAATAAGCAAATAAATAAAAATTCTCTAAAGTGGTATTGGCAAAACCGACTAGAACATCTCTTTCTATTGTGACGTTGACATCACATCAATCCCACAGACTGTAACAAAGGAAATCCAACCACAACATACATTAAGTTTGACTTAAAACACATCTAGTGAGAGCAAGGAAATGCACATTGAATGGGAAACTCGAGGCCGATTTCCAACTCTTATTCATTGCTGTCTGCAGTCTTCCTTGCGGGCTGACACTTGCTTCAGTTCCAACCTTTGACATTCCTTACTTTAAGGACAACTTCACAAGAATTTCTATACAGAGTGGACGGGAACACAAGTACTTCAATCTCGCCACCAAAAAAGCAAGCACTGTGTTTTGAAAACTAAGTTTAGTGTGGCACAAAGACTCAGGAGGGGGAAACACTGTGCACATTCACTCCAATATCTCCTCTGGATTGCCCCTTCTCGTGTGTCCACCTTCTAGTGGCGTCTCCAGGGTTTGTGCTTAAGGGCACAGATTTCCTAGTTACTTCCTCTGCATCTATGATCAGTTATCAGTCTTGACTCTGACGTCTGTGAAAACTACAATAATGTTTGTTTCATTTACCACTGTATTTAATGGCTGGGACAAAGCAGTTAGTAAGAGAATATTTGTTGAATGAGTGGATGGATGATGCTATAGGCCAATGACTCTCAAATCTTTGTCTTTTGCCAAGAGTGCTCTCAAAATATTTATTGGATATTTCTACCCAGTTAGCCATGGGAAACCTCACACCCAATGTGTCCAATGCCAAGCTCATTTTCGTCTCCTCCCCAAACCTGTTTTGATGCTATGGAATTCCCTATTTCAGTGAGCCATCCACGACCAGCTTGTTTTCTACGTTTTGGTGCCATCCTTATCTCCTGATTCTTACAAAAACCCACATCCAACCAATCTTGACTCCAAGTGTATCTCCATTCCCCTTCCCTGCCTTCTCTCCTCAAGTCTGTGGCTCAGACTCTTCCTAATTCTCGCCAGTCTGGTGGGGCAGCCTTCTAGCCATGTTCTCAATTGTCAGTCCTGGCTTCTCAGTTCACTGTCTTCTCTATGGCCAGAGCTGTCTCACTAACAGGCAAATCTGAGGGCTCATTCATTTATTCAACAAATATTTACTGAGCACCTACCATGAGCCAGGCATTGTGCTAGGGGTTCAATTTCTAGGATTAGAAATAGCTGACAACATAAAACAAATGAATTATCTTAAAAATTATAAATGGTATAAATGAAATGAAGAAAATAATTAGGAAACACTTAAGAACGGGTGGTTAGTGAAGGTGTCCCTTAAGATCTGACATCTGAAAGATACTAAGGAGAGAGCTAGGAGAAGAAGGGGAAATAACTCTTCATGTAGTGGAATTAGCATATGCAAAGGCACCTGGGTAGGAAAGAATGAGATGCTGGAGAATCTGAGATAAATCCAATTTGTTCAGAGTTCACTGCCCTGTCAGAAATCTTGCAAGAGCCCCACAGACAGCTTGGGGAATAGTACAAATTCCATCACATGGCATACCACCTTGATGTAGCCTCTATTTTCCTCTCTATCATTTTTTTTTAAAGAGTTTATTTGTCAGAGAAAGAGAGCACAAACGGGGAGAGGCAGGCAGAGGGAGAAACAGGCTCCCCACTGAGCAAGGAGCCCAGTGCAGGACTCGATCCTAGGACCCTGAAGTCAGACCCAAGCTGAAGGCAGATGCCCAACTGACTGAGCCACCCAGGCATTCCTGCTCATTCATTCATATATATACATATGTGTATATATATATATATATATATATACACATATATATATATATGTATTTTTTTTTTTTTTTTAAATCTCTTCCTTCTCTCTTTCTCTCTGGCCCTACCCCATGGGACTAAGGGAATACTTGCTTTACCATGGTCCTGGTTCTCTCCTCTCTCCACACTGTTCCGTCTTCCTGGAATGTCTCTGACCTTCTGGCTCTTTGCTTGGCCAACCTCCTACTTGTCCTTTAGGACTCAGCTTTGCTGTCATTCAGTCAAAAGTCTTCTCTGGTTGCCTGCACTGCTTGCAAAGACTCCTTTTCTCCTTTCCCAACACTGACCAGGTATACAGAGTATACCTCTAATCTAGGACCCAGCACCATAATTCTGTCTTTTTCTCACATTAGACTGCGGGCCCTTTGAGAAAGAACATCTTCTGTGCCTCCAGGCCTTAACACAGTGCCTGGTCTGCAGTAGCACTCCAGGGGTGTCTGTAAGGGAACACAACCCAATTTGGGCTCAAGGATGTTTATTTTTCTTTTTATAGAAATGTTGACAGAACTTTATTTTTGTCTCTCTCTCTCTCTCTCTCTCATCTCTAGCAATATAGTTTGAACTAAAATGGAGCCAATGTACATCTGAAAACTATTAAAGTGAACAATCCCAATAGTCCCTCCAGACTAAACAAGACAAGGACCGAAGAGACAATCTGTTTAGAATGCAGCTTCCAATCAAGAAGGTGACATCAGGGGCACCTGGGTGGCTCAGTGGGTTGAGCCTCTCCCTTCAGTTCCGGTCGTGATCTCAGGGTCCTGGGATTGAGCCCCACAGCGTGCTCTCTGCTCAGCAGGGAGCCTCCCCCCACCACCCCCCCCACCTGCCTCTCTGCCTACTTGTGATCTCTGTCTGTCAAATAAATAAACAAAATCTTAAAAAAAAAAAAAAAAAGAAGAAGGTGACATCATGTTCTCTGATGAGAAATGCCTGCGGGGTTGTCCTATTGTTGTGACTGTGGTTCAAACGTAGGGGAACTGAGTTAAAACAGAATTAAAGGGCAGCATAATTTAACAGACAAAAGGAGCCAAAAAAAACCCAAAGAGTCCAGTCCCAAGCTTAAACTAGGACCTTCTGTGATCCCGAGAAAGTCTCTGTAAAAAGTCATGATTGGATCCTCCTTGTCCTCTGGGCAACCTGCTCCCTCAGGCTGATTTTAATAGAATGTGTGTAATTTAGAAGGTAAACTATATGTGACTGTACAATAATCAGAAAAATTAAAATAAAAAGTAGAATGGTTTCACAAGTCCTGATGTGGCCA